CAAGGATACCCTACATACTATACCCTGTCAACGCTACAGCTAGAACAGAGGCGAATAAGGTGGTTTAAAAAGCCCATTCTTTTCGAATTGTTTTCGACCTTTTTTGACATTCCCAGAACCGTTTAGCAAAAATGAACCCCATCGCTATGGTCCTCGCATGGACCCCTACAACATGCAACAAACCGTTTTGAAAAAGCTCACCACGGCCTGAACGACCTCCCCCGGTGTGTAAGGCTATGATCATTCGTGCAACCGTCGAATGATCATAGCTAAGCATGGTCGCCATTTCTCTGGTGGTGAGGTACGGGTCCTCCTCCACGGTGGAACGTAGTACTTTCCAAATCCAACCCATCGGCCGACCCGGACTTCTTCAAGTCCCAGCCTCCGTCGTTCTGGAAGGATGGAATCGACAAGCTGCCTGAGCGCTGGCGTCGAGTAGTGAATGGTGATGGTGCATACCTCTAATCTCCAGGCTGGTTCGTTTTTGAGATATTTACAAAAAAGTCGTGTATAAGAACTTATGCGACAACCTAATACCTAGGTCTCCATTCGAAGTTCCATGGGAAGTTCAAACCATTCCCTTGTAAGATTTTTCATGGCTAGGGCAGATCATGGGTTGGGAATTTTGATTGAATCACTGTGACCCCCTCTGAGAGGTTTTTTGATACGACCCCTCCTAGTTCCCTCCTCTAATACGATCGAGCTGTCGAGCGGAGCGGTGTATATAGCACAGGAGCCGTAAAAAAACCGCGAAAAGTCCATGACCGGGGAAAATTTTCCCAGCTCCACCAGTTTTTCTCAGAAGGAAAATGCGCTTCCCCCAACCCCTTCCACCAGTGTGCAAATACGATCCCTCCCCACCTTTAAGCGTCCGTTCAACAAAATATCCTATCAAAAAATTTCTTTCTCGTTCAAATACGACCCTCTCCCCGTTAGGGAATCGCCAAGGATGATGTGCCATGTAATATTTCAGACTACTTTCATGGCCACTTAAAGCAGATGTTCGGACTTCTATGCAGCGAATTGAGCATGTTTTCTCACTGGCAAGAGTATTTCCATAATACGCGTTGTTATTTAGATCAGTGAAGTTTCATTGGAGTCAAAATTTTGTTAACATTTTGTTTACATATGGAATTAGAGTTGCGAGACCATAGGACTTTGTTTTTCCTAATGATCCAATTCAGAACAGCAGTGGCTTTTAAATGCAATTTGACCCATACTTTCGCTTGTGGGAGTCACGTAATGCACACTTCAGCGCTCATATATTCCCAAATGAGGACGGTACCAACTGTGCGACTCACGGGCTGGCTGGCCCGAAAGGTTAATATCGGGAACAGACCCTTACAGTGCGCTTGTAAAGTGGACCCGCTTGTCACTGCACCCCATGTTGTAAACACATCGTGAAAACCTACCAAAAAAATCATCTGTTCCACTCCTAATAATGGCCACGCGACACTATGATAAAAAAGAACAATGCCATCATTTCCCATCGAGGAGAGAAGAAGTTTTTGCAATGAAACTTCACAGACCTGCTCCATCCAAGATCGGACCCGTCAATGGAGAAGACGTTAAGCTTTTCGATTCTACTCGGTGGTGTGGGTTCATAATCGCGTAGCATGATCAACATATCCCATGAATTCAGCACCATCCAAAACTTCGTGATGTCATCAATGGCATAGTTCACCAAGGCATCGTTCACGCTCTGGAAAAAAAGCCACACTGCCTACAAAATCTAGTGAGAAGCAAACTAAGTTGTGAATGCACCTTCCTGTGGTCTTCAAATGAGTACCCCTTTAACTTTTGGTATTCGGTTCCGCTGTCAATAACGATGACTTTACATTTCACTTCCAAGTAATTTGTCATTTCAACGGCGATTGTTCCTCCGAGAGAAGCTCCGATTAGTACCGTATCCGAGGATCCGTTCAACAGTTCGGCCACCTGCAAAAACGAAATTCGAGTCCGTAAACTGTCTGCTTTATTCAGTGAACGTGGATTACTAAGAACCACTGCGTGGTAATACAAACTCTATAATATTCAAAACGCCTCCTACAGCCCCACCCATCCCCCAGAGTATCTCCCACTGCGACAGAGGAGTAAGGTACAGTGGTAATCTACGTAAACGACTGAGCCTTTGACGCGGCTCGGCTGTAAGCGCAGTCAGGGCAGCCTTTTCCCGATGTCATCCTGAGTCGACTACAGCTGATAAAAAAATCTGTTCTGCTGCGTTCCAAGCCAGGCCCCAATCCTGCGCCACATCGTTTTCGGGAATAATGACTGTACCACGGCTGTACAGAAAGACATTTGAGGAAGAGTGCAGAAGGAGTATGAGCCAGGAAAGTAAAGATAAAAGGATAAAATCGTTGCCGTTGATCGATCCCTTTGTGGGATGGGCGCGCATTCTACTTTCCTATAAATCTAGTGGCTTACTGAATGCGATATGGCCTATGCAATGATTTCCGGGCTAAAACCCTATGGGTCCAATTGCTGAGTCTATCGCTGAAAGGATACGACTCTCACAACACTAATAAACTTTAGGTGATTCGAAGGTTTCAGTTTCGACCTCACAGACAAGCATCGAACCTAATGCCCTATTCTGTCCAACTGAGAGCTTACGGAATTACCTTATTAACTGAGAATCATGCCAAAGATTGAGGAATCGTTAGAGGTCATAGAATGCTTCCTTATCATTATCAAGCATCACCTTCACTTGAGTGGAGAAGTTCAAAACTTAGTGGATGGGTTCCGCAGGCAAGATGCCCCCCCCCACGCGATGCTCTTTACAAGGTCCGAATTCCCACCACTTGATAGCTTGAACCAACTTCAAGCTGTCATAAGACGCATCTTTCTTTGGTCATATATACCACAAGGTTTGAGCTTCTTCTGTAGATTGAGAGCCGAGATAAAATTCAAAAAGTAGTTGTCGAAAACTCACTTTTGGGTCGACCCGAATTTTCCTTTTAATGAAATAAAAATCGGCGGAAATTATGAAACAGTAGGGAGGTAACCATACTATCTTATAGAGCAGGAAATTATCTATCAAACATGTAGAACATATTGGGAACAATTGTCGTTTTTCATATAAAAAATTGTGTGACAAAAACGCCATTATGGCAACCCAATATCTCAATTACGATCAGCAATTACGTCCGATGGAGATTTCAAAGCGGAAGTGAGCACGCGGGTGAGTGC